CCATTTTGTTTTCTCCTCGTATTCCGTATTGTACAGTAACTCATGCTTGATTTTATTTTTAATGGAAGAATTATTTTTCATTTACGTTTAAAGGGGTAATTTTTAACATCTATTTATTTCTTAAATATATGTTACTACTGGCTCCATCTAGTGTACAAAATGTTTAATAAAAGATAACATGATCTTAAAAAAATGAAGAGGTAATAAATTTTTTCTCAGATTCGAACTCGCTATCTTAAGGATTCATAAAAAAAAAAAAAAAAAAAAAAAAAAAAAGAGAGAGAGACTGAGGGGAACCACATGAAAATTCCTTAAGCGATACCCCACAATCTCTTGTACGTGTATCGCCATGATGTTTTTCTGAATCCGCCATTTTGAAAAAAAAGCAGTGGAAAAGGAACACGACATCACACTGAAGAATGTAATTTTTAAGTTCTTTGTGACAGAATTCTTTCTTAGGGCTAACAATACATGCTGACCTTGGACATTTTGCTTTGACATAATTTCGTCAAGGCCGTAAGCGACCAAGTTGAGGTTTGGAGAGATAGTTTTGTCCTTGTTGAAAAATATCGTTTTAAACTAACTGCTGGTGATTGGCAACAGTTGCAGTTCATTATTTAGGATCGAATAATGGCAAAATGATATTTTGCATATATAAATGCAGCAGCGACTGCAACAGCGTGATGCTTCACAAGAAACAAAATGTCGCCTTACTCAGGCTAGACGTAGCGAAGGCATTCGACCGCGTCTGGCATGAGGGGCTTATTTATACTTATAAATCTCCCTATGGATAGAGAGCTGATTCAGCTAATTTTTGTCTTTCATCACTAATAGGAAATTCACTGTGGCTATTGAAAAGGACATCTCCAGTTTACGCACCATGAATGCAGGCGTCCCACAGGGGTCCATTTTAGGGCCCGTCCTGTATTTATTTTATGTTCATGACTTCCCTAGGGCTCACATTGGCAGAAATTACTTTCTTGGGTGCTATGCGGACGATACGGCATTAGCCGTAAAGTCCGCAAACGCACACCATGCAGTCAAGAAATTACAGGAGCTTCTACCAGTGGTAGAAAAGTGGTGTAAGACTTGGAGAATTGCTATTAATGCCAGCAAGTCGCAATTATTATTGATAAGGAGGAAAAATACACAGTTGACTATTAACAGTAAGCTCTTCTTATTCTCTGAAGAGATTCCTAGAGTTAGTAAGGCGAAATATTTAGGAGTAATGCTAAATGAAAGATTAAAATGGGGAGATCATATAACAGAGGTCAGAAGAAAAATTTTCACTGTTGTAAATAGTCTCATCCCTATATTGGGTAATTATTCTATATCACGGCAATTAGGCCATTGATGACTTATGCGTCGCCGGCCTGGTGCACGGCTACCAAGGAGGATATAAAAAGACTTCAAATCATGCAAAACAAAGTCTTAAGGCTTATCACCCATGCTCACTTTTTTGTGAGCAATGCTACACTACACTGTGACTTAAAACTGGACACTCTAGAAGAGCACCTGAATAAGATCAACAGGAAATTCTTCACGAAAGCTCTGAACTGTGACCATATGAGAAATTTTGATATCTTTACCTACGAAATATTGAATGAGGACGCCAAACTGCGCCCACTTGCGGCCCACCTTATCAGGGACCCGAACTTTCCCACCTAGTGCCCACCTGTAAATGAATGTACCCAATGTGTTTATTAGCATTCTTAATTTTGTATTTTACTCATTTATTGTACTGTGTATTTCTTAAATTCTCTAGTTTTATTCACATTCTACACTCATTTTATGACTCCCACTTAGTCACGCCTTTACCGGGCCGGTTACTTGCTTGTGAGCTCTTGCGTTGCTGGTCTTCCTATTCTTTATCCGTCTTTCTCCTCCTTACTGCGGACATTATGTGAAGATAGTTCTATGTTATTGTGCCCATCCGGCATAAATTTGATTGAGCCAGATAAACTACTGATCTCAGTGGTATTCTGGCTATAAGTTATCAGTCAGTCAGTCAACAGCGTGTTCATAGATTTTGAGACTACTTTTTTTGCGTGAGTAGGAAATTTTGTACCAATAATGGCTAAACGATCGTTTGATGAAGTAAGTGGAATTTTTTGTGCACTTGTATTTTTAATTTATTAATCAATTTAATTCCTATTAATAAAACAGAGTAATTCCTTTTTTGCGCAGTTTAAAAAAAATCAAGATTCTATTGATTATGAAGATTACTTGAGCGATAGCGAGGTAAAAAATTTAAAATATATTTTATTTAAAAAAGTATTAAGTTAGAAATGCATATATGATGTTTTAAGTGAATACAATGATATCTCTGCATTTAGTGTGGAAAAAAAATTATCGTTTAGTATACGATAAAAGGGTGATATTACCAGATTTTACGACGCTACCGTTCGGCTACTGATGATTCTATCCAGTGAAGCATTCAAAAGTTAAATTTTATCGATGATGATATTTTACATTTACTTTGGGTAATGTAGTATTCTGAGATAAAATATAAATATATATAAAGTATTTTACAGGTAAGGAAAATTCGACAACTTATAATTAAATGAACATTTTTATTTAGTACTTTATCCATGGCTGTTTTCTTGCGTACATGTTTTGTTTGATTCTAGAAACATTTAAGGATTTCTTTTTTCTTAACAATATTTCGTTATGCCCGAATGCATCAGGCATTTCCTTCAAAACAGATCGAAATAAATTTCGTCCTACAGGCCTTTTTTTTTCTATTCCGCAATAAATCGTTAATTAAATGAACAATATTGGATCTAGGAACTGTTTCCCCTTTATACAGAATTTCACCTGAAGTCCGCGACAAAATATTTTGTTTATTTTTTAAAAAGGAGTAAATGTCCTTGGCTACATGCTTCTTTTTCACTGGAACAACAGCTAGGATATTCTTTTCGATGACGTCTTCTTCTTTTTCTTTCTCTGCTTCGGTTTCAGGCTTAACAGAATTATCTGCTTCAATCATGTTTTCTGACTCTGGCATTGCCTTCACAGAAACATCTTTCTCCGGGTGAGGAACATGAACAAATTTTTGAAGTGCTTGTGAATATAACATTGCTTTATCACTTTCGTTCAAATTCTTATTTCTTAATATAGAGTACATTTGTTTATCTATTTCTGATAAATACTCTTCTGTCATGTTTTCTAACCGATCTTCCGGTATAAGGCGATATTTTTTACTGTACTCCATTAATAATAGAACTGATCACAGATATAGCTGCAGGTAAGAGAAAACTCAGAAAACCATCACCTCGTTGTTGAACGAGCAATTCTCGTTTTTTGTACAAAGGTATTTTACGGTTCGCTAACTTACGTATACTTCTCTTAAAAGGAGTGAGTTTATTTTTCAGAGTTTTAGATACTGGTATATTACCCCGAATTAAATTGAGTGCACACTCACACAAAGATTTGATGATACTATTTGGAACTTTTTGAAGTAGAAATCTTTTTGATTTACTCTTTGCTAATGTTTTCAGTTGCTTTATTAAATGCTGCTCGCATTCTGACATTTTTAGTATTCAATGAAGCTACGAAATGAATTCTGTAGTATTTATAGGATTCCAAATCCAATATTTTATCCTTTACTTCTTTTCATATAAACGTGGAATAATAAGCGGATTTTTCATTTTATAATAAAGTAAGAAAAAAGATAATGCATTCTAAAATTTGAGTTTTGTATCAGATTTCCGCTAAGCGTTTTCTTATCGCGGTAAATACACGTAATGTTTGTCTTCCGGAAATATTCCTGTTCGTAAACGTAAACTCTCTTCTGTGTCAGGTTTCAAATCAATCAACAGATAGCTGTAAGGTTTAAAAGTTGCATCCTGAAACACTTCTTGAAAAAATTTATTTCTTGTTGGGTAAAGTTGTCTACCCAAGTGCATGATCTGAGACTTATCTCGCGGATTTTTTAAATAAGACCATATAATGGCAATTAAGAGAAATTTCTCTCATTTCTTTACCTTTGTGAAATAAGTTTTGAACGATGAAAATGATGCTTAAATTTTTATGGTGGCTTCCTTTGGTAAATAGTTTTGTTAATTTTGATTCATTGCCCAGTTCGGACATTAAATCATCGATCACGATTAAAGCATTTGTAATGTTATTCAAATGAGAAGGAAATCCTTCGTGAAACTGTACGTCGCGCATTTGGGTATACAATGGCTGATATGCTCCGTAGCACCACACTGTTTTAGTAGGAACAGGATCTATGCTTTTATGTTCAATCATTTTTTTAACAAATATTGTTTTTCCTGAAGATGTAGGACCTGCCACTATCATTGTAAAAGGATGTTTTAACTTAGGAAACTCCATCGTAAGTGAACTTTTCTGTATTTAAGTTAAATATTTATAGTTCTTCCGTACCCCCTCCCTCCCTCAAAAATTACATAGTTTAAAAAAATGACCTAGATTAAAAAAGAAGCATAATAAATTATTATTATTTGTTAATAACAAAATGAGTGGAAAAAAATGCACACACACACAGTATTTCCAAATCAAAATCTAACCTTTATTTTTTAAATGTCATTCTAAGACCATATTTCTTTTTAACAAATTGGTATATTCTAAAATCATTGCTTTTACACAAAGAAAGATTATATAAAATATCATACATAGATTTGCCCTGGCATCTTTTTAATAAAAAATAAATGCAGTATTGTCCACATACATTAGATGTTAAACTTTGAAATCGAATTTTATTATAATGAGTTACACGAAAATGTGACACAAAATTCTCGATGTTTTTTCCATAAAACTCCGGAGGCTCTCCGTAAGAATCGAAAAATTCCAAGGCTTTATCTTCTATAAACAGGGCAAGCCAATGCGTTCCATTTTCTGTAGAGGGTGATACATTTATTACCATAGCAGATCGTTTTCCAGGCATAGGTATCATGTCAGAAGGAAATACTCCTTGGAAGTACGGAGCAGTGTCCATGTCTTGAGACAATATGTGATGAAGCTGAAGGGCGTACATCTTAATTTGCAAAGTCGTAAATAACAGTTCTGGATTTATTAATCTCGATTATATTTTCAAACTCGCTGTACACTATAACAGATATTGTTTGTGATAGTGGTGCTCTAAATTTCATTTCTAGACGTAAATTGCTGTGTTTTATTAGATTCATGTGCTCTCCATCACATAAGTCAGGCGACAAATCAAAGGCATATAATGTATAACCTAAGGGATAATCGTCTCTCGATATAAAAATACCATGATCTTGACTCACTTTCTCTCTTCCGAGAAATAAGCTTTGGTAAGCTCGAATATAATTATTTTCATCAAAATTCGGCTCGAGAGGATTGTAAGGCACAGGCTGACCGTCCACATAGGCTCCGATAAAATTTAAGTGATAATGATTAAACTCGAAAGGTGATTTCTTATAAGTTCCGTGAAAAGCATCATTATCTACGCATCCAACAATCACCCGTTTTGGCATCTGCCCGACGAAGACGTTATCTTGTACGATAGACATGCTGCCTTGCGGTACAGAATATACTTTGCACAACACTCTGTTAATGGGGTATTTTGCTGTCGCTTTTTCTAAAGCTTTGGCATGTCCGAGAGTAATACCTGGACTGACGCGAACTTTTCGAACGAAAAGGGAAACATGATCCAATACCACTTTGTGTCCTTCGTTACCATGTAAACAAAATTCGGGTTTACTCCGTATAAGTTTTAGTTTCAAATCTACAAGGTTCAACATTAGTCTATCTTGATGAAACAAATCGCAGTGAATGCCCCCTATCATATCTATTGTATTACTTAATTTAAAAAATTCGGAACGCTTAATCCAACCTTCGTTATCTGTAAATATTTTACTAAATGTATCTTTGTAGAACATTTCGCATGTAAGTTGCGAAGTTTTACTGTCAAACCCATGATTTAATAGAGTTTCTATATAAGCTCTATATGGATACGTATTGCTCGAAGAAGAGATTAATCGATCGTTTAGAGTGACGTCCACTTGAGAAAACAGCGAGTGAAGGAAAAGATTGACGGGACCAATCTTTGAATCTGCTACTGTAGGTTTTCCATCCGTTTTTATTATTTTAGCTTTTACATAAAGAAGTGTTTGGGGGACAAGTCCATATACTCCTCTCCACTACCGGAAACAAGGAATTCAACAGGTCCTCCATCAAATACATTCGAAAGTGGATGAAACTGAATCCATTGCCCATTTTGAATGACAGTCTGAGTTCCAGGTATGTGAAAAAGTTCTAATTCTGATTTAGTACATTCGGGAGAATCTTTTAACATAAAAGCCATTTCCGTTTTTATTTTTTTTTAAATATGTTGTTTAGGTTAGTCAAAAATATCTCGTCGACGTAGCTTTTTGGCTTTCGAAGAACTAATACGTTGTCGAGTTTTACGCTTTCTTTTATACTTCCCTCTACCTAACATCGATTCTGCTTTCTTAACAGCTTTTCCAGCCAATAATTTTCCAGCTTCTCTTGATCTTTGTTGCGCGGCCATCTTTAAATTTTTCCCCTCCATGACATCAGAAGCTATACGTGTCCCTGTCAGCAAGGCTTCTTTTCCTACGGTTTTTGCCCCTTTCCAGAGAACAGGTAATGCCAATTCGAAATATTTTCTTAAAAAATCCACCGATACCATAGCCTCTTTGATAAGCTATCTGTCCGCGATAAAATGGAAGGCCAGATCCTAACTGGCCGACATAATGATCTTCAAACTTTTTTGTACAACACACATAAGGAACACGGCTCATACTGTATGTAACGTGTCAAATTTTCAAATGATGTGTTTCATGAAATGTATTATCCCTTTTATAGGATATGCCGCAATCGAAAATGCAGAGAATAATGATCACTTTTCCTCTTTCGAATGGAACAAATTCCCCAGAGTTTAATCTTATTTCCATTTCAATCGTTTGAAAATGATTTCGAATAACAGGAACATAGTGTGGTCTGTCATAATGAGTACTGATGACTTCTCCATCTTTTCCATTTATTTTTACAATACGCAATAAGGGAGCTTGAATGTTTCCCACTATTTGTGGTTCTACGATATCTGTATAGATATAAAAAAAATGGGAAGGAAGCACGTGGATCAGCGACGAAGGAACTTTCAGCTATATCTTCTATTACTTGCGGTTCAAATCCTAACAGATTGCAAAGACCTTTCTCAAAAATTAGTTTTGCTCCTTTCTCGGTTTTAATATTCACACGCTTTGTCACAGGACTGTATTTAAATGTAATTTTGTTTCTTAAAGGTGGAATATTCATTTCGTTCAAAATATCTTGTACACTTTCATAATATCCAGGTGGTAACCTTCTTCCCTGGAGTTCTCCATCTTTTAAAGCAAACCCGAACAGATTATTTTCTTTATTTATATTATACCATTCGTGCGGATAAATTATTTCGGTTAATCCAACTTCCCATAGACCGTTTAATGTAATTGGTATAGGTAGCTGTGTCACAAAATGCGAAAGTGTATTTTCTGAGAAATGTTCTTGACTACTATCAGAGGGCAGCGTCACGTAGAACGACATCTCTAACTGATGAAATTCAGAACAGAATGTTCTCTTTTTATAACATTTTTACATCGGATACCCAAGCATTAAATTTATCCGGGTATCCCTGAAATTTGACAAAATACTGCATTTTTCCAGCCACTTTTTTTTTGTTTTAATATTTTTTCTACCGGATAAAATCCCGAATCAGATACTTTTTGTAGTTCATTTTCATAAAAACTACCTTCAATCACTTCTCCAGCTAAATCTCTTAATTTATAAACTACAGGTTTTCGGGGGATCATTCGATGAATTGTAAATATTTCTCGAGTCCAATTATTTTCGTAACCCTTCTCAAAAGGTCTTTTCAGCTTACTAATACGCACCGTATCGCCTGTTTTTTAAAACTGGGGCTTCGTAACAGATTTTATCATATCACCATATAAATTCTTCCATACCACAGACTGATTATTTATATTCACTGATGAAGGTTCCATTTGAATACTGCGATGCCAAGTGTGATTGTAACTATAGATTAATTTATTCAACACATCTATATAGCAATGTGTGTTTAAACTCTCAAAAATATTTCCACATTTTTGTCTTTAGAGTCCTATTAAATCTTTCAATAATGCTCGCTTTTGTTTCGTTATTTGTTGTAAAATAATGAATGCCCTTTTCTTTAAATAAATTTTGCACTAATTTATTTTTAAATTCCGAGCCTTTATCTGTTTGTAATGAATCTGGTTTACGCTCTTTAAAAATGTTTTCAAATGCCCTTTTCACACTAGAGCCCTTCTTGTCTTTCAAAGGTATAGCCCAAGCATATTTCGAAAAAATATCTATGCATGTTAACAAATATTTATACCCTCTATTAAATCTGGCTAAATTTTGTAAATCTACTAAATCAGATTGAAATTGTTCGTCGATCCCCCCTACAATGACTCGGTTGCGTTGGAACTTGTGTCGCAGAGGCTTGTGAAGCGTATAAGAATCCCTCTTCTCTAACCATCTTTTGATCTCTTTGCTCTTTACTCCAGAAACACGACGTACGTAAGCATTGATACCACCGAAGCTTGCCGGTTGCGCTGGATTCCGATAAGTCAGATCCAGAATTTCTGACATTACAACATGAATTTTTATCAACGGAAAATGTGATGTTCATCCTCATACAACCGCTATCCAAATAAATGATAAATCAAATTTAAATTTATTTATACTTTTTATAAGCCCCTTACCTAATCCTCATAACAACCTGTTCAAACATTAGTTTTATAGTTTCATCTAAGTTAGAAAATTATTATTATCATTTCATTTCTTAAAATATAAAAGAATAAGAGACTAAATATTTCAATTGTAAACTCTTTTATATGCACAAAAAAGTATTTACAAACATTCACAAAATAACTTGATAGGCGATTATTCACACGCATATATATACATATACATTTACAATAAATTTTAAAAAATGAACCAACTAACCTGAAACATATAAATCTTTAGCATTATTTAACAACATTTCATAATCAAATATTTTTAGAAATGACACTGTAATATAATTTGCAATATTCGAATTTTTACTCACAAATTCAGCAGCAATGTTCACAATATTTATTTTACACACAGCAAGATCTCCATATTTCCAAAGTTTATCCGAATTGGTCATTGTGACACACTCATGGCCAAGCTGATTGCCGTATTCCATAATGCACCCACTACACTCGAAAATGTCCGCTATGTTTGAACTTATAGTCTCTTTTAAGAGTTCGATAAGAGATGTCGAAAGACACATTTCTGCATCAACAGGAGCGATTTGGTTGTCCTGATGTGATGGCATTTGCTTGAAAACTTCGTTCAAAACGTAGAACTGGAAAGTAGGCCCAAACATTAATGTAACCACCTCCGTTGTTATTTGTTTTCTTATTCGTATGAGTTGCTCCCATTCACATTTTGTAAGAACACATACACTTGGCAAAAATTCACGAGTCAAATCTTTGCATATGTAATAAATTTTTTATTATATATGTCAATCAACAACTGAAAACTATTTAAAAATTCAGCACCAAGTATGTGTTTAGAAACTTTTGCCCCAATAAAGGCCACTGAAATGTGGAGAAGAAGCCTAGGTTAAGTGAAGACATTTTTATACCATATGTGGGCATCTCAGTACCATTTGCTGTATATAATTTGTAATCACAATCTTTAGAATCAGTTTTAAAAGGGGCTACAATTGACGCATCAGCACCACTATCAACCTCTTTTTTTTTTTTTTTTTTTTTTTAATCTTTTACAAATAAACGGAATTTCCGGTACTTGGATTCCTCTGCAGCAGAACTTACCGCTACATCTACTGCTAGGCCCGGTTTCCCGATTCACTCCAACTGCAGGGTTGGACACATTTCTCAGAGAAAATGATAAAAACGCACACTTGCTATCCGGCTTCTTCTCCTAAAATGACTGTAGCCCCGATTAGAACTACGGGAGTGTCTTTGTTCACACTGCATACTTACTATTTGTAGTTCAAGTCAAAAAATTTTTGCAATTAATTCATCCATGCCACCTGACTCAGCGTGAATAGCAGACAATTCTGGGTGGAGATGCAGGAGTCATTTCCATAATAATATGACATTTATTTTATTTTATTTGTCAAATGCCAGTTACATTGGCCGTTAAGCCATTAAACTCCGTGCTTGCCAATAGCGCTGAAATCTACAAGAAAAATTTGTCAGTGCTTCACACTCGTCCAAATGTTCCGCTGTCATTGGCCGTTCACTATTACATAAAACACACAACGGCGAATCAACTAGTCCAATGCGAAATAAATGATTCCGTAGACATGTCCCGTCAGTAGTCTAAAAGATGCAACTGCAACTGTTTGTGGGTGGTCGAGAACAAAGCTGGGTTTGTTGAGAGAACACTCCAAGGCTTGACCATTGGTTGCCCTGAAAAGGACAGTTTGGAAGATCTCTAGGAGCCATCAACAAGCGGCAAAGTTGTAGCAGATTTAGCGTAACCCAGGGTGCACCACGAGAAGGAATAATATGACATTTTATCTAGCTCTAAAAGTTCACAGGACTTTGTCAGATATATTGTTTGATCTGAGTGAAAGCATCTTTCGTAACATATGCCTACACATTTTATCACCTAATTCTACTTCAGTGATTAAATAATTTATTCTCTTATTTTCACTCTCTTTGAAAGTATTCAGATGCCTTTCTTTTGCAGTTGTGTATTTTTGCAAAGAATCAGCTTTAATAATACCCCATGTATTTTCTAT